GAATACTCAGCAATGTATAATAGTTAAACTTTTGTAAAAATTTTACTGCATATTAACAAAAGTTTTAAAAACTAAAAAAAAAAATTAACTGCATGCATGAAAACTAATAAAAAAACAAACAAAAATATAAAAAAATAATTTTTGTAAACTTATGTTGCTTCCACGACAATTTCATGCATTCGGTGAAGGTGTTTTAGAAAACATGATACCGTTAAATTGAAAAAAAAAAAAAAACTTTAATTTTATGACTGAAAAGTTAACTGAAATTAATTAAAGATTAGTTATAAATTTTGATTTTGTCAATATTGAGAAGAATATGGTATTTTAAAATTCTAAATTCAACAATTTATTTATAATTTCGCTGACGAAAATATGGTTTTTTTTTTTTGGCGGAATTGAAAATAAAAAATTAGAATGTGACATATTTTTTTTAGAAGAAAGACAATTTCAACGAAAAATATTTGTAAGTAAAAAATTAATTTTTTAATTAAATGTGTTTTTTTTTTCTTTTAAATCTTAAAATCTCTTTAAACTCATCTAGATTCTCTTTTTTTTTTTTTTTTTTTTTTTTAATTCATACACTGTAGCACACGTAATTATGCCATTAATACAATACTATCTAACGATCTGCACGATATCCATTTATATTTCCTTTTTTTTCTATGTATTCATTCAAAATTAATAAAAAAGAATTTGCCTTGAAAAAAATAATTTAAATGAATATCCGATATTTCATGTTTCCTTTTTAAATCTTGTATTCATTTTTTTTTTTTTTTTGGTAAAATGTAGTTTATGTCGATTAATCTATCTGTTTCTTTGTTCCTCACTTCCGGTGGTGATACCCGCGATTTTTTTTTTTATATTAAATGTTTTGTTTCAGAAAATTATTTGATATCTAATACTTGAATAGAATGTCAGCTTTTTCGATTTTTCTTTGGTGGTTATTAATAAATTTAAATATCTACTTTGCAAAATCAGGATTGGTTTCTTCTACTGAAAATTATTGGCTTTCTTCAAAAAGTGGAAATATTTTATCTAATAATTTTATCAGTAAGTAGCTTAAATTTAAAAAATAATGCATATTCAAATTATTTTTTTTACACTAATTAATTTTAAAATTAAAATTTCAGATGGTGTTCCAAATAATAAATCCAATTTTAAAAATATTTATTCAGGGAAAATTTCAAATATTCATGAAATAAAACATTCTTTTGGTCCTCATCAAACAAACAAATCAGTTTTGGTGTCTTGTTTTGGTTTATGGAAGCCAAAAGGAAGCACTGATACGGTTTTTTACGAATATGTCGACAATGGTTCTGAAGAGGAAAAACGTATAAAATTAAGAAAAAAAAAACTTAAAAAAATGAAGAAGAAAAAACAAAAAAAATTATCGAAGGCTCGGAAAAAAAAATATTAAAATTTAAATATGACATCAAACGGATTCAATAATTTTATTTTATTTATGTCGAACAAATAATATTTAAATCTTAATGAATGTTTTTTTTTTTTTTAATTAATTTTTTTCATTATAAAGTATTTATTTTTTGCATTAAACTTTTTTTTAAAAAATTTTTCGCGATTACAGTAAATTATAATTTAAAACTTTAGGAGAGACAAGTTTAACATTAAATACAGTATTTTTAAGTAATAAATGCATGATTCAACTATTTTAATATAAATCAATGACAATAAATATTAAATTTATATATTTATTCTGCTTTTTAGTAAAGTTAATTCATGTTAAATGTTTAAATAGTAATTTTTTCTGCACACTACCTATTGCATACATAAATATGTATAATACTGTATGGAATTTCTTACAATCATAATTGTAACGTAAGGAAAAATTTCAAAATTTTTTTGTTTAATTATTTATTGATAATGTGTGATCAATTAAAGCACAGAATTAATATTTTTTGTTAATAAAACAAAAATACGTCCGGTTAAAGGCCTTTGGAATAATAGTAGATAACGAGAATCGTGGTATTAGATAAACGTCACATTAAAGCAACGAATCAAAAAACTACGGTGTGCTTTGTCAAACGCTAGCATCCATTTTTAAGAAGTGTGGGAAGCTGTTATTTTTACCAGCGTTTAACTGAATTATATTTTTAGTTTTTGTATTAGTTATGAAATCATGGTGCTGTCGGAAAAAAATAGCGCTAACATTAAAAATGGGCAACGTTCTCGAGGGCCTAGTCCTAATGGAAATGTGGGTCCAAGTCCTGCTTCACCAATAGATGATGAAGGGGGTGAGTATCACTTTATTTTAATTTTTTTGAATTATAGCCTTAAATACAAAAAATAATTGTCAAGCATTTACAAATATTAGCGCAAAGGGAAAATTTTTCATTTACATTCTTGTTTGCTGCTCATTTCAATAACTACGATTAAATTAGTGATTACTTAAAAATTAACTTAATTGATCAAATTTTGAATACAATTGATTTAAAGGGTCATTTAATATCTTTAAATAAAAACTTCCACAAAAAAAAAAAAAAAAATTTTCACACTTATTTTATTTTAAATCATATTTTAAGTTTTAATTTTTTTTTTTTTTTCAAGTGATAAACTAAAATAATTTTTTTATGTTTATCTTTATTAGTAAAACTTTGATTTTATTGTTTTAAAAAACTTTATCAATAAACATTGTTTTCTTCCATTTCATAATGTTTAATAGCATCTTACTACTTTTTCTACATTTTATGAATTATCTTTTTCTTAGGAAAATTCATTTTTTCAATTTTACAATCTACATATTTTTTATCTTATTTATCAACTAAACTTCAATAACTTTTTTTCACAAATAAGAATCCCTTTTATTATGACAATAAATTTTCAACTTAAAAGTATTTTAAAAATTCATTTCATTATTTTATTGAGAAAAAAATGACTGAACATTGGTGATTTCTAATCATTTTTCTCTCTTTTAAATTGATTTTCCCAGTGAAGAATTTCAGAACACCTCTTTTATCTCGACCCTCCCATCCAATGATTACAAGAAGAGCTGCTGTAATCGGATTTTATGAATGTTCAGGTAATCCCTTTCCCTCATCCTCCAATGTATCATAATTTTTGTTTAACTTCCTCAAAAAAAAAAGAAAAAAAAAAGAAAAAAGAAAAAATTCCTTAAATAGATATTTTAAGAAAAACTCTTGTTCAATCTGCAATTATGTGAATCGATTAAACATCACTTGAAAAGTATTAGTAAATTTTTTTTTGGATTTAAAAAAGTATGCATCATAATTAAAAAATGAAAATTTTAACATTATTTAAATTATGTTGAGTAGTGTATTTTTTTTAAGGCTAAATTATAATATTTCACTTTTTTTTTTTTTTTGTGCTAAGAAAAAGGCACTTGTTTCATTGATTTTGTCTTATATGGAAAAACTATGCAATTAATTATCTTTTTTTTTTTTTTTTCTATAGAAAAAATTAGAGTTGGTAGAGATTATCAGGCAATTTGCCCTGAATTTATTCCTGCTGAAGATAGGAAACCTGAAAATGAAGTTAACGACAGAGCATTATTAGTGTGGTCTCCATCTAAAGACATATCTGATGATCAATGTGAGTCATTATAACTGTTTAGGGGGGGGTTTTTTTTTTATTATGTTTTAAATAAATTATTAATTTGCATTATTATTTTTATTTGATTTGTCAGTGGACAAATACATTCAGATAGCTAAAGAAAAATATGGTTATAATGGTGAACAAGCATTGGGAATGTTGTTCTGGCACAAGCATGATTTAGAAAAAGCAGTTTTAGATTTAGGAAATTTCACTCCTTTTCCTGATGAATGGACAGTTGAAGATAAAGTTCTTTTCGAACAGGCCTTTACATTTCATGGAAAAACATTTCATAGGATAAGACAAATGGTATTAAAACCTAAATTTATTTATATTTGTTTTCTAGTTAGAATAATTCAGAGACGTTAAATAAAAATGAGAAAAGCCATGTATAGCCATTAAATTATAAAACAAATTAATTTCATTTATCGTCAATAAGTTATTTTACAGCCCAAATTGTCTTCTAATAGTTAATAAACTTAATTTTATATTATAAATAAGCACTCCTACAATTCAATGAGTTTTTAAATTTATTCCAAGTGCCGCCCCTCAAAGAATAATTGTAACCGCTTTAATCATAGAATTTGTGTCCGAAATAATTGTTTAAATTAAATAATTTTTTTTGTTTAATTTTTTTTTGAAACTTTAATTTAATTTTCAACAACATTACTGTGTTTAATATAGAATTTTCTAGTAATTTTAAGAATCGTTTTGATTATTTTTTAAAATAATAATGATGAAATTTTTTATTTTTATCAGTTGCCGGATAAATCAATGGGTTCTTTAGTCAAATACTATTATTCATGGAAAAAGACAAGAACTAGAACGTCTTTAATGGATAGGCAAGCTAGAAAATTAGGAGGTGTAAAAGAAGAAACAAGTGAACTAGGAAGCGAGCAGGGTTCAAATACAGATTCTGAAAGTGAAGAAAAGGTATGTAAAAATATATTTATTTCACTCAGAACTTTATTTACACGAAATTTTTTTAAGTATTTACCAAATACATATATAATACCTCTTAAAATTATAATTACCAATCGAGTTTTAAAAATTAATTTTCTTTTTTTTCGTTAACAAAGTCAAAGAAATTATTATTCCAGATCATTAAAAAATATAAAATGCATGTTTTTAATAAAAACTAAACATTAAAAAAAAAATTTTTTTTTACTCTAATTTATAAGAGAACAAAAAAAAAAAGAAAATTATACTTTTATCCGGTAAGTTTTATTTAAAAATAAGAAAATAAAATCACATTGGTTGTATCACATAATATTTCAAAACGTTTGCATGATTTCTCGAATAAAAAATATAATATTCTTTATGAATATTTATATTGAATTATAATGTGTCTGTCACGATACTCGTTAATTATTTGAAATTTTTTTTTTATTGCATGCACTTTATTTGGCATTTATCACTATTAAATCAATTTTACTGTTTACTTTTTTTTTCAAAAAAAAAAAATGGCTAGATTAGACTTTTTTATATAAATGCAATCAATCATTTTTTTTATTCTTTTCAATTGCATTTTATTTATATTTGTTTTCAATTATTACAAATTGCGCAAATTATTTTAGCAACATCTTTTACTTTTTTTTTTTTTTTTTTACATGTAAAATAATGAAAATATTTCAATTTTTATTATATATACA